GAGAGATTGACATCCATCTCACACACACACACAATCATGCAAACCTTACACACACAGAAACACACAATGCATTCCTTACACACACTAAATGTACCCCTTACAGACACACACACTGCATCCCGTACATACACAGAAACACACCTTGCAGCCCTTACACATACAAACACAGATTCACACAATGCATTCCTTACACACATATCAGGACATCCCCTACACACTCCACCCCCTGTGAACAAACTCATTGGTGGAACATGAAGGTGGACCCTGGGACCCAGACCTTGAGCTGTGTAAAGGACCCCCAAAAAATGGAGCTGCTTCCCGTTCTCCCAGAACATTGATTTTTGTGACCACAGTTACAAACCGCCTCCAGAGAGCCTGTTCTACACCAGACCAGTGGAGCCAGACTGCAGCTAGAGCCCATCATCATCCTCATCTGGTTGTAAGTAGGCAATCTAGTATATTATTCGTGGCACTAATCTCTAATTTACCTCACATTAAAGAAACACTATAGTCCCCAGAACCACTGCAGCTTAATGTAGTGGTTCTGGTGTCTATAGCCTGTCCCTGCAGGCCTTTTAATGTAAACACGGTGGCACTCCAGCACTGGCGTTAGTTAACATGGCAGATCATATGGGTGGGGCATTGTGATGTCACATGGGGGGGCGGCAAACTTTACTTTTGCCTAGGTCGGCAAAAATCCTTGCACCGGCCCTGGCCGAGTGTCACGTGACTACCCGGCGCTCAGTCTGACACTGCGCCTGCCAGACGTCCAGAGGTCCCCCTGCTATGTCAGGTAAAAGGGGGGACAAAGGTAGAAAAATAATTGGAAGGGTTTAGGGGGGCTACTAATATGGATGGGGGGAGGGGTAGGTAGAAAAATAATTGGAAAGGGTTAGGGGGGCTACTAATAAGGATAGGGGGAGAGGGGTAGGTAGAAAAATAATTGGAAGGGTTTAGGGGGGCTACTAATATGGATGGGAGGAGGGGGGAGGTAGAAAAATTATTGGAAGGGGTTAGGGGAGTACTAATATGAATGGAAGGGGTAGGGTGGGTTCTAATATGCATGGAAGGGGTTAGTGGGTACTAATATGCATGGAAGGGGTTAGGGGGGTACTAATATGCATGGAAGGGGTAGGGGGGTTAATATGCGTGGAAGGGGTAGGTGGGGTTCTTTTGTGCATGGAAGGGGTAGGGGTGGTTCTAATATTCATGGGAGGGGTAGGTGGGGTTCTAATATAAATGGAAGGGGTAGAGACGGGTAGTAAAATGTATGGAATGCATTTCTGACAGTGTCACTGAATGGCAGTTAGGAAATGCAGTCACCCTAAGTCAGGGGCAGTATTACACAATCTGTATATGTATAAAAAAATATAAAAAGTAATCTGCAAAGTACAAAATGTTTGTGTCATATGTCATGCTAAAAATTAAGCTAGGAATGTGCATATTTTTTTAAAATAATTTTTAGAATAATGATACAGACATTTTATTTCTTACATTTGTGATGATTCTTTTTTCCTCTCTATATTCAAGAGACACTATAGTCACCAGAACCAAAACAGCTAAACGTAGTAGTTCTGGTGTCTATAGCATGTCTTTGCAGGCTTTTTAATGTAAGCACAGCCATTTCGTCAAAAGGCAGTATTTACATTACTGATGAGGAATACCTCTAGTGGACACTCAGATGGCCACTAGAGGTGCTTCCTAGTCGAGACATGAATGCCGCCCTATGAAGTATCTGTGCATGTGCGGCAAAGCTGCGCATGCGCACCAGAGAGCAATGACGCTTCTGAATAGAAGCGTTTTATTGCTCCCTGCTCGCACCCTCCTATTAAGTCATTTTGATGAAATAGGGGGCGCGGCATCAGGAGGATCCCGGCACTGTATCCAGGTAAGTAAAATCCCTTCCCTGTAGTGATCCTTTAAAGTTATTATTTAATCATTTATATAGCGACTGCAAATCCCGTAGCGCTGTGCAATGGGATAAACAACTCCTAGTTTACGGAATAAGAATATACCCGGCGAGTAAAAATGCTATCCCCCCCAGATTTTTGTTGGGTTCCTACGCCCATGACTAAACCTCAAATGATTCTCTGGCTATTTATGTAATTCAAAGAATCATGGGAGTTGTAGTTCAGCAACATCTGGGGGGCTGGAGTTTGAGGACCCTTGATATATAGTCTTTGGAAAACAAAGCTGTATTTCTAAAGCTAAAGTGTCCCTCTGCCCCCCTTCCTTTGTGGCCGCCCTCCTCCTGTGACAATTAAAGGTTTAAAACCCTTTAAAATACTTACTTTATTCCAGCACTGAACGCTGTCTCCTTCGACGTCAGTGCAGACACGGAACCTAGTGCGCATGCGTGGGTTCCATACGTGCAATAGGCCTTCCACATAGGAAAGCACTGATTCAGTGCCTTCCTGCGAGGGGTTTGAAGATGCTGGATAAACTCATGGATAGCATGAGGACGTCCAGTGTCGTTTCACAGAGACCATCTTAACCCTTCAATATAAACATTGGAGTTTCTCTGAAACTCAATGTTTCAGATCTCAGGGTTAAGGAGACAGGGACCGCACAACCAGACCACTTGAATGAGATCCCTTTAAGAGTTTGGAGTCAAATTCAAGGGGGGGGGAGCCCATCTTAAAACTTCACCGTCTCTCACTGTCCTTTTCTCTCTTTTCTTTATCTTTTTCTCTACTCTACCATTTTCTAGGCTTCTCTCTGTTTTACCTGCTCCTTCTGTGAGCATGTTGTACTACCCTGCATCCTTGTATCGTTATTGATGCTGCTCGTTTCCAGACAAACTCCTCCTCTGACATCAATACTCTAGGCTGCTGCCTTCCATGACATTATAGCAGCACCAGTTGACGCTCACATTTTGGCACAGCAAAATTATACTGACCTATTATGTTTTTTAATGCCCATTTTAGCCTTCTCTGCATCGTTTCTGATGCCCTGTCATGGTTCCTGTGTCTGTGTATTTGATTCTTGTTTTGCTATTGACTGTTGGCTTGTAACTGAATATTCTGTGTTCTGTGATCCTGACCTTCGCTCTTTTTGCTGACTTTATGAAGTGCTGACCTCTTCTAGCCTAGACTCTGTTTTGCAGTCATTTCTTGCTTATCTTTACACTTCTACATTAAGCCAGGCGACTAGACTTGATGTTTTGTTTCTGAACTGCGGTTTGTCTGAATGTGGTCCAATTGGCTGATCAGTTGAAATCCCGAACTCCAAACTGACACGAACCTGAATCCCAACCCAACCAGAATAGGCAATGGCTTAGCGTGTTCGTTACGGTTTGTGATTCTGACCTCTGCCTGTGGCACCAAATAAAGAAACGATTTGATGGAACAAAAGATGATTAGTGGACAGGAAACAGTCACTTTGGATTTTATTCACAGATCAAGTGAGAAAATCTAACCAGTACAGGCAAAAACAGGAGGAGCAGTGAAAAACCCCAAATCTACATATTTATATATATTATAAATTTACCGAGCATTCTGTTTTCCCTATATTGATTACTTTTTCTCACGTGATCTATGAAGCAAATAGCAGGAAAGTTTTCCCATCAGTGTACTACAAAATATATACATAATGAATTATTATTATTTTATACCCTTTTGTTTTGTTTGTACAATTTATTTCCTGTATCATTTTTTCATTACCAAAATTCTGCTGCCCCAAACCAGCATTTGGCCAAAATCGCAAAAAAAAAAAAAAATGTTGTTTTTGGAGAAAAATGGTTTGGCTGAATCAAATTTTGTTGCTGCACACAAGTCTACTTGCCATCTTAAGGATGGTTGTACACTCTTTACTATATTACTATACTGTCTCTGGTTTGTGTTTTGTGTGTGGGTGAGATCCAGAAGGTCCATACCATTCATTACGCTTTTTCTTCACCGCCGCTTTACTCTACAATGCTCTGTGTCTTCCAGTATGCACAGGATATTCTAATGTTTTATTATCATAATAAATATAAATAAAGATTGACCAAAGAAATAAAGGACAGCCAAACCAGGCACTTTTATTGTGGTTAATATTTATTCTTCGAATTCTTGAATTGTATGACCGGTCCATTGCTTGCCATCTTTGGTAACAAGATGCATCACTCATATACTATGCACACAGAGGTCTGATAGACAAAGACAGCCCTGTGTGAATTGCCAGACCTTCCTGTATGATTAAAATATTAAAATAAAACACCCCAGAAATCAACCATTGGGAACATGCTGTAAGGCAGGGGTGCCCAAAAGGTAGATCCTCAGATGTTGCAGAACTACAACTCCCATGATGCATGCCTTTAGCATGCATTTAAAATGACAAAGCATCATGGAAGCTGTAGTTTTAAAACATATAGGGATCTACCTTTTGGGCTGCCCTGCTGTAAGCGATAAAAATCTCAATTACCCGTTAGTATCACCAAATATTGTAGATGAACAAGATTCCTCTAAATCTTCATATGACAAATCTACAAAAAGAATCTACAAAAATAAGTGTAACCAAATGCTGTGCTTATTTTTGTAGATTGTTTTGTCTGGCTTCCTGTCTGAATGTAGAAGCAATGCCATTATCTACAAGGAATGGCAAACTCTGACTTATTTCTTCAAGAATTTATAGCTGTATTACAAGACATCAGATATAATGTGTAGAAAAAAGACCCCAGATTGCTTCATTTGGTAGCTGTGAAACGCCGCTCCATAAAATAACTGGATTGGCATTACCCGGCGGCAAATCACTTCTGTTCGAGTCCAAACTGCTCGAAGAGGTTAAATTGCAGCGCTAATGCTATTACAGTCATATAATCTGAAGCAATATATTTCTGTCGTTGGTGGCAGTTCTGCAGAAAGGTTTGTCTCCTTTGAAAGAATATTGCTGGTGATACTATTTTATTTCTGCACAGTGTAATATCACATATTATTTTTTTTGTGCGCTTTCTGAAAAGCAGCTGATAAGCCGACTCTGTTATCCTGGAGAAAGCAGATAGTAATTAAACAGGAGTCCTCTATTATTCCAGTAAATAATCAACACATTTAGCATGATACAGATTAATTCGTAAAAAAAAAAAATGCCTTCTATGTATGTATAATACATCATCTTAACTATCAAGCGGCATTTAATATCCATTCTAAATCCTGTACTTACTTTCATTTTTTAAACCTCATATTTTTGTCCAGTTTTTTTTTTTATTAGATTTTTTTAATTTTGTGTAGACGGAAGAACACCATTCAGTCGCAGTGACTTGGACTTTAAAAATTAAAGGGACGCTCCACTACATGTATTATTGCTGTTTTTTTACTGTTTAGTAGACATACCCCCCAAAAAAACATGTATGTATTTTTTCTGCATGTTTTCTTTGGAGGTAGGTGAAATATAAAAAATACTTGCAAAAGTAGGGATGTGCATGGGCAAAACATCCAGTTTGGTTCGGACTTCCGAAATTCGGGACTTTGCCAATTCGGGTATTTGGCAATTCGGGACTTCGGCACTTCCGAAATTTGGGACCTCGGCAATTCGGGACTTTGGCAGTTCCCTAACTCTACTCCAAACCCTATCCCTAACCCCACCCCAACCGCAACCCCAATCGCAACCCTAACCTACCCTAATCCCATAACCCCACCTCAACCCTTAACCTAACCCTAAGCTTTTGGCAACATTTATTTCCACACTACTAAAAGGTGAGGGAAGTCGTTACTAAAGCCAGCACATTTATTATTTTATATCAAAGTGTAATGATATCCTGCATGATACAAAGAGTAATCAAAATATTAAAATGATTGATGCTTGTAGACCAACCCAGATAGATTTACAGGCTGAAGGAACTAGGGTAGCATTACACAAATGAACAAAAATGTGCATTGTATTCAGATGATAATATACAGGTGATACTCGAAAAATTAGAATAGCGTGCAAAAGTTCATTTATTTCAGTAATGCAACGTAAAAGGGGAAACTAATATGAGATAGAAGCATTACATGCAAAGCAAGATAGTTCAAGCCGTGATTTATCATAAGTGCGATGATTATGGTTTACAGCTCATGAAAACCCCAAATCCACAATATCAGTAAATTAGATTATTGTGAAAAGGTGCAATATTCTAGGATCACAGTGCCCCACTCTAATCAGCCAAGTAAGCCATAGTCTGGCTTATTTCAGTAGGTATCACAATCATGGGGAAGACTGCTGACCTGACAGTCTTGCAGAAAACCATCATAGACACCCTCCATTAGGAGGGAAAGCCTCAAAAGGTAATTGCGAAGGAAGTTGGATGTTCCCAAAGTGTTCTATCAAAGCACTTTAATAGAAAGTTATGTGGAAGGGAAATGTGTGGAAGAAAAAGGTGCACAAGCAGCAGGGATGACCACAGCCTGGAGAGGATTTTTTGGAAAAGGCCATTCAAAAGTGTTGGGGATTTTCACAAGGAGTAGACTGAGGCTGGAGTCAGTGCATCAAGAGCCACCACACACACGGATCCTGGACATGGGTTTCAGATGTCGTATTCCTCTTGTCAAGCCGCTCCTGAACAACAAACAATGTCAGAAACGTCTTACCTGGGCTAAAGAAAAACAGACCTGGTCTGTTGCTCAATGGTCCAAAGTCCTCTTTTCTGATGAGAGCAACTTTTGCATCTCATTTGGAAACCAAGGACCCAGAGTCTGGAGGAAGAATGGAGAGGCACACACTGCAAGATGCTTGAAGTCCAGTGTGAAGTTTCCAGGCATGTGTTAGAAAAGTTGAAAATGTAAAATCAAAAGGTGATATCATGAAATCATGAATGTAACTTTTTAAAAATATATATTTTTATTAAATAGTGAGTAGTAAAGGGGTAACACACTATACATGACAACACCAAAAATACAAATTACTTACTCAGGAAACACATCACTTCTAGTCCTTCAGTCTCAGATCATCGGATCATGGGGCATGGTTGGTTCAATTTCCGGAGTTAGATATTGAAAGCTTAATTAATACATAATCTATCTATGACTAAAATGATTACCTGCTTCCCATATCATGAGCTGCATTTAAAAATCTTTCATCATGCTTACCTGGCTCCGAACCAACAGTACAAGCCAGAGTTGAGATCTTTTTTAATTGTCTAAAGTGCGACCGGGAGGAGTAGGACGACCTGTTTTACTGTTTCTGGTCTTCCCAGCATATCCAGGTATTTTTGAAGAGTATTGATAATCTTGTCTTAACATCCTTTCATATTTCATTTCCCCTTTTCACTGGAATTGGCGATCTTGGGAACACTTCCGAACATCCGACCTGCCAGGTTAGAGTACCTTTCCACCAATCACCCTATTTTGTACCAAATTACAACACATTTTTTACAAGGATTGGTTGGAAGCTTGGATTCACAAAGAACCACAAGGAGTTTATTTTAGTCCTTGCAGCCATTTATTAATTCCTTTGGCCCTCAAACCTCAAAAGAAACAAATTATTCATGATATTTTTCAATAAACGAATTGGTATCTATACCACATTCTACTGAATAAGCATTTAATCATTTTGATTGAAAATTCAGATTACAGTCCCTGCTCGTACAGTTACTACTCATCCAGGGCACTCCTCTTCTCCTCATTTTTAAAAGGGTTTTCTCAAATACCGATTCGATCTCTCTCTGTCGGGATTACTAGCTGATCCAGCAAGCAGAAATAGTATCACACCTAGGACTAAGGAAAACGTCTAACTGGACCTTAGAATGTCCTGACTTAACGTACCCAAGAATAGTCAAAATTCTTGCCGAGGTCAGGGAGACAGAATGAAACACAACAATGAGGGAAAGCCGAAAGTCAAGGATACCAGAAATCAGGTAAATCAAAATGAAGCCAAAGTCAAAAACCAGAATAATATGATCAGGAACACACTCTCGGATAACCAGCAAAGGGAAACCGCACGCACGTAAACACCATCTTTAATTTAGGCAATGGATATATCCCCATTAAAACTGGAACCGCAGCGGCTGGCGTCTCTAGGAACTCCCAAACTGGGGACCGGGACGGAAGGAGGTCGGGTAGTGGTCTGCCACAAGCAAGCTAAGTATTTATTATTTCTGTTGGCGTGACCGCTGTGTTTTTGTATGGCCACACTGACAGAATCCCGCAGAACTGTGACAGAATCCCACAGAACAATGACACTCTCTCCTCGTCTTATGGAATGCATGGATGGCTGGGTATAAACAAGTTTCAGACTTATTATTTTAACTACAGGCTATTTATTTTACGTTGTGTTTATTAAATGTTATTCATGGATTCATAAGAGTATTATATTATGGGTTGTTACTGTGCAAGAAGTTTAATGATCCCATTCAGAACTAGCGACATGACATTCTTTTGCTTGTCTTTACGACTGGAATAATTGTAATTTGTTGTTCAACCCACTGAAAAAAATAATAAAAATGGTTCAAACTTAAATAGAGAATTGTAGTGAGCTAACTGCCTGACTAGGCAGCAATTTAGCTGTGTTTCCACACATTTTGTAACTTTAAGTGAAAAAAAAAAACATGAAACTAGCCACTTGGGCCGCACCATCATTAGTGCTTCTCTAATGACAACATTATTCAGTGATATTTACAATGCTGTGCGTTCAGCAAACTATTAATATTGCAATTTATTATTAAAGAACCACCGTATGCTACAGCACTACAGAAATGACGGTTGCAACATAAAAAGGACAAGTGAGATTTTCTATCTCAGCCACACTGGAACAAAGGGTGCAAAGGTTAATCTTGCCTGCCTAATAGAGCGCTTTCTCATTCGTATAAAATAATGTCTCTGCTATTACGAGATCTTTAAGAGTCAAACCTCCATTAGTGATTTTTTTTTTTTTTTTGACTGTTTAGTTTAGATCAGAGCCAGAACATACTAGAGTCAAAAACCATTACAAGTTCCCAGGTGCAGGGCCGCCATCAGACATTTGAGGGTCCCTAACACTTCAAGGTCTGACAAGCCAGGCAGTCCTTTTTCAGCCAATCCAGCCCTTCCCGATCATGTGATCACAAGACCGGATCGGCAATTTGAAGCACTCTCTCCAATATATATATGTAGATTAATGACAAATTACACTTAGAGTTAGATTGTGTGTGTGTGTATATAAAAAAAAAAAACATAAATCATGCATATATGTGTAATTTCATTCTAAATGTACCTTGATATTTATTTATATATAATTTTATCCTGATTAAAGTCCCATAGGAAATTTGAACTTTTTTTCCATAAAGACTTGAACTTTTTTTTAAGACTATGAGTGCAGCCGACTTATTGGATAGATACCCTATTTTTCCATGGATAATTTTTTTCTAAATTTTTTAGTTTAAAATTGGGGGTCGTCTTATACATGGAATGTCACTGCAGGGGCTAAAATACTTGCACACGGGGCCTAAGCCAAGATGGCGTCTGCTGCGTTTCACTGTGCCAAGGCCAACACACATACCTGGCCTCCCTCCCGCCGATCCACTTCTGAATGCTGTGGCAAGGAGGAAGAGGTCCATGTATGCGTGGGAGCTGAAGCAATCATCAGCACTTACCACCAACGGAGCTCCAGAGACATGCCACACTGTAAAAGGAGCAGCCATATTAAGGTTTGCTCCAATTAAGGTAGGTCTTGCTTTATGATTTATATTTATGGGGGAGGAAATGGGGATCAGGGAGCAGAGGCAATACTACTGTGATGTCCCAGCATGCCCTCACACCACCTGCTGTATTGTGGGAGCTGTAGTCTCCCAGCATGCAGTATAGAGCCATTAAGACTTCACAGAGTACCGTAGCCTAGGGGAGGCATGAGAATCAGAAGTGTGTTGTTCTCCTCAGAAGTCACATCTATAATATCAAAGTTGTTCTATTTAAAATTTTAAATATTGATTTCTTAATTTTGGGCTCACAAAAAAGGGGTTGTCTTATACAAAATACGATATATATATAAATAAAATATAAAACACACAATTAAAATGTTATATGTTTTTGCTCAATTATGTGATTTTATTAAAGGGACACTATAGTCAGACAAAATGCAGTGTTTACATTACAGCCTAGTGATAACTTCACTGGACACTCCTTAGATGGCTGTTAGAGATCCTTCCTGGGTCATGGCTGCCTAAAATGCATATTTGACCCTGTAACTTTCATAAACCAAATAAAACCTCTACATATGAGGTACTATTGTACTCGGGAGACTTTTAAAAAACACATGCAAGTGTTTTAAATAGTGATGTCGCGAAC